GGGCGGATCACGAGGTCAGGAGATCGAGACCATCCTGGCTAACACGGTGAAACCCCGTCTCTACTAAAAATACAAAAAATTAGCCAGGCGTGGTGGCGGCGCCTGTAGTTCCAGCTACTCGGGAGGCTGAGGCAGGAGAATGGCGTGAACCCGGGAGGCGGAGCTTGCTGTGAGCTGAGATCTGGCCTCTGCACTCCAGCCCTGGCAACAGAGCCAGACTCCATCTCAAAAAACAAAATAAAACAAACAAACAAACAAACTAGTGCTATTTCTGGACCATATACTTTTATTTATTGCTTCCTTCAGAAGGTAAAGTTCAAAATCCTTGTTAATAGCCAGTAGAGAACTAATAACTATCTGCTGTGTGTGACCGAAGATATACTTTAGGTAAATAGAAGTGTATTTTTGTTGCCTTTCTTACACTTATTCTGTGTTCTTAGTTAATAAACTGGGGCACTAAAATCATGGATATTGGGATTCAAGCAGCAGTGATTTTTCTCTGAAAATTCCAGAATTTGCTTGTGTATCTGCAGTTTCTTACCTTTCTCTTTTTTAAAAGCAGGAACTTTTCCATCTTTTAATCTCTGCTCCAACCATAACCGTGATCACCTACTTACTCTCAGTGTATTTAATTCAGTTAAAAAAACTTACCTTTAAAGCCTTCCATGCCCTAAGCACTGCTATAAACGCAAGATGACAAGACATACACCCTTTTCGGACGGCATTAGAATAAAAATGGGCAGCAAAACAAGCACGTAAACTAAAAAAATAGCAGAAATTCAAATTATGACTACAAATATTGTTGTGGAGGCATAGGGAAAATTGATTCTAAGAAGGAGAAATCATAGTCATTTCCTGGAGATGGTTACTTTGGAGCTAGACCTAGATGATGCCAAGGATGTTAACAACCAGCAACAACAAAGAGATAGGAAGAAACATGAATGAAGTGTGCTGGGAAATGGCTTCAGGGTATTGGCTAATATTAACTATAAGGAATATCGGGCCTGAAGGAAAGAATGAAGAAGAACCAATGCTTACAGCAAAACTTAATTATCATAAATTAGCGTGAAGGTTCAGATGATAGGCCATGGACGTAATGTAATTATGCATCCTGAACAGCTGGTATCCTGTGTGACCCCTGCAGTATTTTGGAATGATTGAGGTATCTGGAAGGAATACAGTGATATGCACATATTATGGGATTGCACTTGGAGTTGGGGGCTGGAGTTATCCTAAGAGGTATCAGAGAATCTATGAAGCTCTGCCTGTCCTATTTCTTGGATCTTCATTGCCAAGGAGTGGGTGAAGCTCACCTGGTACATATACCCCCAGTTCTTGATTTGGGGACTCCAGAAAAGTCATAGCTACTGAAAAGCCTCCTGGTAAAACGAGGAATAGCAACACCAAAGGGACTGAGGTTTTATGGTAAACCCCAAATAGTCCAGCATAACCAAGGTTTTTGTCTGGGAGAAAGAAAAGGAGACCAGGTTGCTGAAGACCTCAGGGATGCTTTTCTGGGACTCAGGGCTTTTTTCCAGGAAGTGGGGGAATAGGGAGTAGTATGAGGAGGGTGGCGTAGAGAACATGAACTTTCCCAAGGAAACTCTGGCAGCTGTCATAATGTGGAGGGAAGAGAAATTGGAGGTAGGGAGATTGTCCTTGGCGTATTAATTGTCCAAGAAGAGAAGTGAAGATGTCTTCTATGGACAGAAATGCTGGCCATGAAGCAGCAGCCCAGACAGACCAGGTTCCAAAGTGGGAGTGTGGGCCCCAAGGGTCTGATGCGTCTCTACTGGGAACTGATCCTCACCTGGGGGCCTATCTTCAGCTATCTTTTGGGAAATAGAATCTGTGAGTTCTTAAGCATTTAATATAAGATCTTCTAAAACACTGTCCCTTCTTTTTCATATACTTGCGTCCTCACCCCACCCATCAACATTATTAGATTTTATTAGGAAGGGAAAGCTCAGAGACATTGAGTCGCTTACCAAATACATTCGTACACGTTATCAATAGAACCAGGCCTAGGATCAAAGATACACAAAAGATATTCCAAATGCATGGAAGAGAAAAACTTCATCTTTATCTTTTTATTTCCAAATAAGCAGTCCATTGGGATGTGCTGCTCTGTAATTGTGTCGTATACTTCTCAAGCCAAGAGATATTTCTATGGAGAGATTTAAGACAGTCAGGAGGAGTGCCCATCCCCACCACCCACTGAAAGAGAGGGTTTCTGTGACACCTTGCTCTGCCCAAGCTAGCACCGGCTTTAGTGTAGGCAGAGTAGCTCCTGGAGAGCAGGTGCAATGGTATCAGTTTCTTTGTACTGTGAATATCAAGATGCAATCCTGGGAAGCAAAGGTTGAGTAAATTAAATAATTGTTGGATGCTGTGTATCCTAGAATTGCATGCCAGAAAGGATGTGAACTTCAAGTACAAATTTCTCATCTCGCATATGAATCCTTTCAACAGTATCTAGTTTCTTTAGAAAATTTTTTAAAAAAAGAGAGAGAGAGAGAGAGAGATGCCAGGCATAGTGGCTCACACCTGTAATCCCAGCACTTTGGGAGGCCGAGGCAGGCGGATCACAAAGTCAAGAGATCATGACCATCCTGGTCAACTGAACAGCTGGTATCCTGTGTGACCCCTGCAATATTTTGGAATGATTGAGGTATCTGCAAGGAATAGAGTGACATGCACATATTATGGGATTGTACTTGGAGTTGGGGGCTGGAGTTATCCTAAGAGGTATCAGAGAGTTTATGAAGCTCTGCCTGTCCTGTTTCTTGGATCTTCATTGCCAAGGAGTAGATAAAGCTCACCTGGTACATATAGCCTCAATTAAATCCTGTCTCTGCTACAAATACAAAAATTAGCTGGGCATGGTGGTGTGTACCTGTAGTTCGAGCTACTCAGGAGGCTAAGGCAGGAGAATCGCTTGAACCCAGGAGGCGGAGGTTGCAGTGAACCGAGATCGTGCCACTGCACTCCAGCCTGGCGACAGAGCAAGACTCTGTCTGGGAAAAAAAAAAAAAGGAGACAGAGAAAGAAATCTTAGATTTTATAGTATTCACATAGCTCGATTAAAAAACCGTTCTTATAGGAGACAACCATCTGCCACTGGTTAGCTTCTGCTCATTTTTTTTAGGTCTGTACATTGCTAGTACAAAATCTAAGTCTGATTCTTCAATGTTAGTGTAGGAATGTGCAAAATCAGTTTGGAATCAGTTATGATACCAGTGGTAAGGTATGTAATGTCTATGTGGTATGAAACATTTAGTTCACTTTACCAACAGCTACAGAAAATTACAATTAAAATTCTGTATGGGACAAAACAAGTATTTTTAAACTGAGAGTTGATGAGGTTAGTTCTAGCATATGTGCCAGGCGTGGAACAAGGAGAACGACTCAGTAGCTGGAAGAGCTGCCACTTAGATTAACCCAGCTTGTCTAGCTTGTCTGATTTTACATCAAAGAGCTTTTTCTGTGTACTTTATACAAGAAATTTACATTTTAATCTAGGGCTACAAAAAAGATTTTCAGAAAGTTCTACCATTCTAAGTGACACATAATTTTTTCACTCAGGAAATTGTTATTTCAAACGCTAACTCCAAAAAAAATAATCTGTCTGGAACTTAAGAAAAAAATATTTTATAATAAGAACAAGTTATGGTATAACTTATTTGTTTCTGATGAAACTGAAGATAGTTAGTTTAATTTCTATTTAGCTTACTTTAAAATCTGTGTTCATCAGTACCCTAATATTGCACTTGCATTGTGATAGAAAACAGCATTCACCCTGAGAGATTTTACAAGTGAAGGGCATGCAGCCTTTGAAGATTCTATAACTGAAGAATGTAAGATAAAAATTAAAGGAAATTCACATATAAAAGTTGCAAACAGTCTGGGTGCAATTGTTCACACCTATAATCCCCGCACTTTTGGAGGCTAAGGTGGGAGGATCGCTTAAGCTCAGGAGTTCGAGACCAGCCTAGGCAATATAATGAGACTTTCTCTCTACAAGTAATTAAAAAAAAAAAATAGTTGGATATGGTGGCATCCTCTTGTGTTCCTAGCGACTTGGGAGCCCCAGGGAGTCAAGGCTGCAGTGGGATGTGATCAGCCTGGGTGACAGAGCGAGACTCCATTTCAAACACAAAAAATAAATAAAAGATGCAAACAGTAGAAAGGTGTGAAACTCACTTAACCTGTAAAGTTTTATGCATTTAGTAGAGTCTTTTCTTAGAAAAATTGCCCATCAAAATGAATTTCTAAATGAGTCATATTTTACACAGTTTTCCATTATATAATCAGACACATTCTGATTAGTAGAAATCACCATAAAAATAAACCATTTCAAAATGTAAGAGACTCAAAGTCATATTTCAAAGAAAATGATTAATTACTATGCTTTGAAAAAATCAAATTGCTCATAAATGATATTTGACAGAAATATATCTTACAGAAATTTTACTATATAATATTTGACTTTCATGGCTAAACTGTAGAACTATCTCCAGTTTCAATATTTGCCCAATAATGTCAACACTAGCTGAGTAGCTAATGCTGAACCCAGCCAAAAACAAAATATTTGCTCATTTAGCCAGACTAGTAACATGTTACCACATACTTGGCATTTCTATAATGCAGGGTTTTAATAGGGCTGATTTATAATTGAAACAAATTTCTATTAGATGTGCAAGAATTTAGTATTAGCTGGATTTTCAAACTGATGTAAAGATCATCTGGTCAATGCTAATGTCAATTTTATACATACACATATGATTTCAGAATGTATGTATTATATGCATATTATACATGTCTACATATATTCTTTAAAGATGTAGTTACATATACAGAAGGATAATTGAAATATCTACAGTAGAATGGATCAACCTAGGAATAGCTCACGAATGTATCAAGAACAAGGTACTTTTATTCAGTGTTGGAGACGTATAGCTTATTGCATCTTTTAAGCATTTTTCTTTGTTTTTTAACAGGTTGTTTGGTATCAAGTCAGTAATTCAAACGGACTGTTCCAGTACTTGGAAGATCATAGTAAACCCGGACCTGTCATGGTACCACCACGCCAACCCTATCCTCCTGCTGGTGATGTACTACACTCTGGCCACTCTGATCCGCATCTGGCTGCAAGAGCCCCTTGTAAGGACAAAAACGTTTTCATGATCTTGTCTGCAAAGTAACCTAGAATCTCCAGGTGAAATGATTCACTCCTGTTCTCTACTGACTAATCAATACTCTATTCCAACACAGCTCTCGTGTTCTGGGTATGATGTTTTAATTCTGCAAACAGTATTAAGTGAATATAAATACGACCAGATCAAATACTAGCTTCCCTTTACTAATACCACAACGCACAATGTGCTGGTAAGAACAGCAGGTGGTGAGAGGAATGGAAGACTCATTTTTGCTGATCACTTTAGTGTAATATGCCGTGTTGTTGTCATACATTATCTCATTTAATAAACCAAATAACTCCGATCAATAGACTAGGTGTTATACCCATTTACAGATGAGGAAAATGAGGTTAGAGATGTCAATTTTTCTAAAATCACACATTTACTGGGTGGTACAAATCAGATTCTAATCCACATTTGACAACAAAGCTCGGTCCTTAGAGGCACACACCCCTGTTATCAAGGGGGCTGGTGTTTCCTGTATCTCCTCCAGCCCTCTTAGCCTGTGAAGGTGTGGGAGTGACAGTCCAGCTCTTGGTGGTGCCTGTTGCCTCCTGAGTATCCCCTTGTGAGGGATGGGGATTTGGATATTCCTTCCAGCACAACTGCGGGTGTTTATTCCCTATGAAAATATGAACAAGGACACAGCATTTCTGAGGGGAGGACTGAAGCCTGGGTGGCTTCTCTTCTCTCTTTTCTCCTTCAGCGACAGAAAACATCAGCCTGATTTTCTTTACCCTAAATGACTGTCAGGAGCCCAGTTGCAAGGTAGCTTATTGACACATGAAGGAGACAAGCTGTGTAGACAGGGTCGCCGCACCTTTTCACGCCCCACCTGCAGGGAACCCCACAGCTGGGGACCGTTCTCATGAACATGGCCCAGCCTGAGTCTCTGCATTCCAGTCCCGCCTCCTCCGAATCGCTCCTAGCCTGGGGCCCTGCAGAAGCTCCCCACTTTCTCTGTTCTGTCTTTATACCCGCAGACTATTTCCACACGTTCATCAGTCAAGCCAGTCTATGAGTGTTTATGGAAGGCCACTTGGGTCTGACACTGACCTAGGGGCCGGCACAGAGCAATGGCCTCAGTAGGCAGGGCCCCACTTAGAGAACTGTGCATTCTAAAAGAGAAAAATCGGTCCAAGAGAAGCACACAGGATGTGAATCAGATAGGGACTAAAACTGCGGGAGGCACATGCCTCCGGTCGTCTCTGACAGAAGCGCCACCTGCAGAAATGAGGATGGTGCTGTCTTCCTCCTCTGTGGTACCTCCTCCCCATCTCAGGGGCTAACATCCATCTGTGGGATTCAGGTCTCAGAGGCCATCCTTGTTAGCAGGGTTCTCGTGCATCATCTTTCTTTTAGGCCACTGATGACAGTTGTATAGTAACAAAATGATTTATGGGTGGTAAGGAATCCCAGTCATGTTGTGTTATATTTTTCTTCAATTCTCTTCTAAAATTTGACTGTGCCAGTAGAATCATTAAAATCGTGTCCAGTTCCTCCACAAGCATGCATATGTATATGTGTATATTCACAAATAAAAACATGTACATAAAAAATTAAAGATATATATATTTTTTTGAGATGGAGTTTCACTCTTGTTGCCCAGGCTGGAGTGCAATGGCGTGATCTCGGCTCACTGCAACCTCTGCCTCCTGGGTTCAAGCAATTCTCCTGCCTCAGCCTCCTGAGTAGCTGGGATTACAGGTGCCCAACACCACACCTGGCTAATTTTTTTGTATTTTTAGTAGAGACGGGGTTTCACCGTGTTGGCCAGGCTGGTCTCAAACTCCTGAGCTCAGGTAAATAACTCGCCTTGGCTTCCCAAAGTACTGGGATTACAGGCGTGAGCCACCGCAATGGGAACTGTTTCTGAACAATGTCTTACACGTTACGGAGATTACTTTAAGGCTTTCGAGTTATTACGATTTCCCAGCCCATTTGCTTTCTCTGGCATATCCCATGTCATCTCTCAGATAATGCAGTAGCTTGATGAGGGCTCCGTTATAACTTTGGGCCAGTGCGATATTCTGTTTCCACTGCCCTGTGCTGTCTGGCAAGCAAAGGTAGGCAGAGAGAGAGCCGGGAAGACCATTTAGGCTACAGGCCACACAGCAATAGCAATGTTACAAATCACAAGGTCTGCAGGGGTTTGTGGAGAAAGGGTCTTAAAACTGTCATCAACACTTCATGTGGGCTGTATTTTAAATGGACTGGGACCGAAGTCCCGTTGCACTGAGGCAATGAGGAAAAGAAGCTGATTATATCATAGTTCCAGATGACCTAGTACGTTTAATGAAAAATGCCAGCCACCAAATGTGAGTGCTGAAGTAGACATCTGTGAAACATGTTTGAAAAAGAGAGAGAGAAAAGCGTGTCGAGACTTCAGTGTATTATATGGCCCCCACCTGGCAAACGTAACACCCCACCCAGGGAGTTAGGGTGCCCCACTTAGGAGTTCTACTCTGGTGCACTGGGACCCAGGAATCGGGCAGTGAGACTAAGTCCACTGCACTCCAGTATCAGTGACGCATGACTGCCCTTTTTACTAGGACACTTTTGTTGGGAAAACATGCTAAGGCACCAAAGTGCTTCTGTTCCTTGTATTCCTCTCTATCACCTCTCCTAGACCAGTTGTTTAATTTAGGCAAATGTCTCGTGCTTAGAAATGCTCTGGCTTAGTGCCATGTGCGCTCTAGATGATTCTGCCTCCAATACATCCAGTCTGAATTGAAGTCTGCCAGCATCTGGCTTACACGGTTCACTGCTCACCTTTGTGAAGGTTCTTACGCTAAGAACCATGTGCATAGCTGCTTTTGAGTGCGGCTGAGAATGCACTTGGAAAAGCTGCGGATATGTAACCATGAAGCATATTCTGTAATGCGTGGGGCTTAGTAGGAACAGGGGACATTTAATATTGATGTGCTTATCAATTGCAGGGGAGCATTTTTGTCCTTTTTTAAAGTGTCTTGATAAAATCCTGTATATTGTAAACATTCACTTTGAAAAATCATCATATAGAGCCAAAATGAAAAGCCCTCTCTTGGCCACCCAGGCTGCCTAGGGAGCTGCCTCAGGAAGCCAGACTGATCCTGTTTCTGTGTTTCAGGTGCAGGAGGAGAGGACAAAAGAAGAGGACAAAGCCCTGGCTTGTAGCCCCATCCAAATAACGGCGGAGAGGAGGCGGAGCCTGTGGTACGCAACCCATTACCCCACTGATGAGAGAAAAGTAAGCCACGATGAAAGGGATTTCCGTTCCCTAATTTTTCTATTTTTGTATTTTACTGTTGAAAATTAGCCTTATAATATCATACATATCATATGAGACTCGGGTTGCGTGTGGTTTATAGACACAGTGATTTAGGAGGGTTAGTACCAGAGGGGAAAACTGTTTCCAAAGAAAATACCCAGGTCCTGTCAAGAACGTCATTTTATATTTCCATGCTTTCTACTGAAATCTCCGAATCTTAAAAAGAATGTTCCTATTAAAAAAAAAAAAAATGTGTAATTAAAACAAACAAATGTAGCAAAGCAGTCTGTTAGCACTGGAGGGTGAGAATTTCAGTGCTGAACTATATCTTAGAAAATAATTTTTCTCTGTTGGGTATTTGGTTGATTTGGGTATTTGGCAGACAATTACTTGAAAATAAATGAAGTGAGCTTCATCACTTTGAGGCAAACAACTGACAGTAATTGTTACCAGTGATAAAATTTAAGTATTTGAGTGAAGATTAGAATTTTGGAAGACTGGAAAACTCGTATCTACTGAGGGCTTAAACGCTTCCCAATATTTGAGGACTTTTCTGATGAGATCGGGGTGATAGTGACAAATGTCCTTTTTGTGCATGGCATACTGAAACGTGTCAGTATTTGGTAGAGTCAATACCTGTAACTCACTGAAACAGCAGTTTCCGAATCACCGCCACCCGACATGACAGTGTGTGGGTAATTGATCCAGTTGGGGTGCATGGTATGCCAATGAGTTTTAATGGAGCAGAGTATGATGATATCAAAGCAGTGGTGGGTAAAACTACAGGCGCCTGAGCAAGAACCAAGGCCAGGGCACCAAAGTGCAGAGCAGTGATTGTAGATAGAGTCCTTCGCTGCCACGCTCTGGCGGAAAACAAAGGAAAAGGGCTGGTCTCACTTAAGAAGCTGGCCACAGTGGTACTCAGTCACCACTTAGAAAAGACCCAAACAGGAATGTGGTTGAGGACCTTTCACTTCTTTGAGGTAACTGAGTGTGTTGACAAGGAACAGTAGGTCACAAATGGGTAATTCAGATAACTCGTATAGTACACGTAACGTAGAATATGTAATTCATATAACCTTTTGATCATTGATTGGCTGTTTTGAACTGAACTCAGCTAAGTACTATATTGACTTGTAAAAATGGCCTGTTGGCAATGTTGTAAACACAAATGCTCTTAGAATTTTTGGATGGAGTCAGCGTTTTGCTTTCCAGCATGTTCTCCAATTGAGGAGTGGGTTCTCTGTTTTTGTGGCAGTGAGTTTCTCTAAGACCCACACTCCTGCTCTCAGTGCGGCTACCCTGTGTTGAGCGTGGGGACAGTAGTGAGTGAGCTACCTTAGGGGGGACAGCACTGTGGGGCAGAGGTGGCCGCCTATGGCATCTGGGGATTTCCCGGTTGTTTCCTCTATTGCACCTCAGCAGGTTTCAGGTTATCTTACGCATTTCACTAAATGATGAAGAAAGCCCAGCTGTATTTAAAGTGAGGCCTGTGGACCTGTCGGGGTCCCAAGACCTTTGCAGGGATTCTTAGGCTCAAACCTATTTCTGTGCTAATACTTAAGACCTTTGCTTTGATGATATCAAAGCAATGGTGGGTAAAACTACAGGCGCCTGAGCGTGAACCCAAGGCCAGGGCACCAAAGCGCAGAGCGGTGATTGTAGATAGAGTCCTTCGCTGCCACGCTCTGGACGAAAACAAAAGAAAAAGGCTGGTCTCACTTAAGAAAATATTGAGGAACCAGGAAGAGCTATTAATTTTCTTAAATCTCCACCTTGGCGTGCTTGTCTTTTTAATATTCTGTGTGACAAAATGAGAAGTCTGCCTAATGTGCCTCATACGAAGTGTGACAGTTGTCCCGAGAAGAAGCGCAAATCCCCTGCAAGCATTGTGAGCTAAACTCACTGTTTCCACACCAACCTTTTACCTGAAAGAACAGCTCCTGGACTAACAGGGCTATTCTCTTTCATTTGGGTATTTGGCAGACAATTACTTGAAAATAAGTGAGCTCATCAGTTTGAGGCAAACAACTGACAGTAATTGTTACCGTGATAACATTTAAGCATTTGAGTGAAAATTAGAATTTTGGAAAACTCATGTCTACTGAAGGCTTAAAAACTTTCCAGTATCTGAGGATCTTTCTGATGAGATTGGGGTGATAGTGACAAATGTGCTTTTTACGCATGGCATACTGAAACGTGTCAGTATTTGGTAGAGTCAATACCTGTAACTCACTGAAACAGCAGTTTCCGAATCACCGCCCAGCTACATGACAGTGCGTGGGTAAATGATCCAGTCGGGGTGCATGGTATGCCAATGGGTTTTAATGTAGCAGAGTGTGAAAAGTTCACGGATATGGTTTCAGATTCTGCACTACAATGGACATTCAAGACACTGCACTGGTTGAGTCTGATCTAGTAGCGGAGACTGTCCACAGTTATTTAGATAGACTATTTACTTTTTTTTTTTTTTGGCAACAGAGTCTCGCTCTGTCGCCCAGGCTGGAGCGCAATCGCGTGATCTGGGTTAACTGCAACCTCTGCCTCCTGGGTTCAAGTGATTCTCCTGAATCAGCCTCCCAAGTAGCTGGGACTACAGGCACGCGCCACCACGCCTGGCTGATTTTTCTGAATTTTTAGTAGACGTGGTTTTGCCATATTGCCCTGGCTGGTCTCGAACTCCTGAGCTCAGACAATCCACCTGCCTCAGCCTCCCAAAGTGCTAGGATTACAGGCATAAGCCACTGCGCCCGGCCCTAAAATACTTTTTTTTTTTGGCCGAACTGCATACCTATGTGAAGCCAGATTTTCTTTATCTACTTCAATTGGAACACCACATCACAACAGATTGAATGCAGAAACAGATGTGAAAATCTGGTTGTCTTTTATTAAGCTAGACATTAAATAGATATGCAAAATTATAAAACAATGACACTTTCTTCACTATTTGTTTTTTAAAAAATATAGCTATTTAAATAATTTATTTATATTAACACATAATGAGTTTTTAAATTTTTTAAGGAATAAATACATAAGTAAATAAATATTTTAAGAATATGTGTTCTAATTTCTAGTATAGTAGATATTAATAGATAGAACCCACACAAATTAAGTCTCTTTGGGACCCTCAGTGATTTTTAAGAACACAAATGAGTCCTGACCTAAAATTGTGGTAGAACCACTTGCTGTGCTAATTATTATTTGGGGGAAGCCCAAATCACCTGGTAGTAATGTATTAATAGTTAAAAAGTAGAGTCATATAATAATCATTTTGTTGTATACAGTACATAAATCTTAAAATAATCTCAAACCACATTACAAATCAATTTTTCTTTATTATGAAAATTCTATTTATTGAAACGTAAATACATTCAGAATTCTGCAGATGTCTCAAAGGGGTATAAAACTAAGCAGCTTATTCTCGTAGAACATAACCCTTGAAAAACATGGTAACATTTATAGACACGTGGTTGCTTATCTGCTGTATAACTAAACATTAACATTAGGAGATGTGACATAGTTGTCATGAACAGCAGCATCCAGCTCATTTATTTGTCCCTTTATATTTTGCATGGCTATTTTAATATAGTAGCATTCAGCAAGTTCAAAAGAATGGATTTGTGCATAGTAAAACTTTATAGATACATAAACAGTAAAATGCTTTCGGCTTCCTTGCTAACATGCTTTCCCGCATTGCTTTTTGCAGCTTTTATCCATGACCCAGGATGACTACAAACCTTCTGATGTTAGTATACCCTTAGAGTTCTCATGTATGCATGTGTAAGTGATGTAAAGGCAACAGAAATGGAAGTAGCTCCTTTGAGTCTATTTTAATGATCTATTAAAATTTCCATAAGCTTTTCCATTTTTTGGCATAAATTATATCTGGTAGACTGCTGTTAAAATGAGATTGTTAAAATAATCATACAAAACATATTTAAATTTTAAGAAGCTTTGTGGGCTTTTTAAAAAGCATTTTGTTCTGTAGCTATGCCTGTTACATAAATACGAAGTTTTGCATGCCCATGGGTGCACATACATATATGTATAGGTGGGTGTTATGCTTATCTCAAAAAGTGTAAAGCCAAAGAGACAGAAGGAGGAAACAGGCAATTGTACTTTGTGGTGTAGTAAGGACATGGCAACCTGAAGGCAGGCAGAGATCCCCAGAGGGTGATACCTCAGCTGAGATCCAAGGGATGTCTGCATTAGTCCTGTGCAGAACCACATAGGGCATAGGGCAGGACAGGGCTGGACCACAGCCCAGGAAAAGCCTAGAGTCCCATATAGCTAGAAAGATGGCTGAGAGGTGGACAGTAACAAAGGCTGAGGCTGGAAAGATCAGACCAAATCTTGAAGTCCTCCTTCAGCCATTTACAAGAGTTTGCTCTTCATACTGAAGACAGCAGGAGCGTAGCATGGTTTTTGGCAAAGTGCAACAAGATCAGATGCACATTTTCCTGCGATCACGCTGTGGAGACTAGAGTTGGAGAGGGAATGTACAAGATTCCCCTTACTGAAATATCTGGACAGTTGGCTAGGTTATTCACCTTGTAGTCAACTCCTCACTGTTTGGTTATGGTGGAGGAAGGGAAGTGGGGATTTGTCTACATTGAAAACCCAGGGCTGCTGTGACAGGTGTCCCTTTCTCTGCGCTCCCGGCAGGGCCTGCTGGTGACTGTGAACGGCAACCCCGTGGATTACCACACCATCCACCCCAGCCTGCCCATGGAGAACGGCCCCGGCAAAGCCGACCTCTACTCCACCCCCCAGTACCGGTGGGAGCCCTCTGATGAATCCTCAGGTAGGATCCAGCCTGCGGGCATGTACTGTACTCAGGGTCACACTTCTCCCTCATTTAGAAGCTTGGCCTCGCTCTGTCTTTTTGTTGTTGTTGCTTGTTTGATGTTTCTTAAAACAGTATCCATGTCAGTATCATTAAGCTCACTTCTTTAAGTTCTGCCTGCATTCTGCCCCAGCATATTGCTAGTTGTGTTCTATCCTTGTATACAGAGTAAGTGACATAATTGCGGCAAACTTTGAAAATAAAAGGTGAAAACAATATTTTAAACATGTCAACTTCGGTATAGCATCTATATGTATGTTGGTCTTTCTTTTAGTTGATATTGTAATTATAGTCAGTGGTTTTCCTGGTTAGTGTATGAATTTTTGTTTGTTTGTTTCTTTGGGTTTTTAAATTTATTTTATTTTATTTTATTTTTGAGACAGAGTCTCACTCTGTCTCCCAGGCTGGAGTGCAATGGTACGATCTCAGCTCACTACAACCTTCACCTCCCAGGTTCAAGAAATTCTCCTGCCTCAGCCTCCTGAGTAGCTGGGACTACAGGTGGACACCACCATGCCTGGCTAATTTTTTGTATTTTAGTAGAGACAGGATTTCACCATGTTGCCCAGGCTGGTCTCAAACTCCTGAACTCAGACAATCCGCCTGCCTTGGCCTCCCAAACTCCTGGGATTACAGGTGTGGGCCACCGCACCCGGCCAAGTGTTTTTTAGGAGTTCTTTTCTTTGTCCATTTAAAAAAAAAACGAGGTTGTCGAAACTTTTGCAAGGCTTTTTTCCTCCCTTTTCTTTCAATTGTTTATGTTGAAGGAGAGCACTATTATTAAAGATGACAAATTGGTGGCCTGGGGCTGAGTTTCACTCTCAGATTTGATTTTTGGTCTGCACAGCATTTAAAAACAATTTTAAATAGCCATCATTTAAAAAGCTGCACCTCTGACCTAGAAATGGACATTTCTGGAATCCCTTGAAGAATGTGAAGGTCTGGCAACACTAGTCCCTTGCCTCTAGAAAACAGCAGTTAACTAGACCTCTATTGTCATTGCCCCTGCCAGGGACCAATTGCCCGTCATCAGTCCATAAAGACAGAATTACAAAGTGACTGTAAAACTATTGGATTGGCATCTGTATTTGTATGTAATTACAGCCAGAGTTCTTAGACCTTGTCCTGCCTTTAGTGAGTGACCAGCAGCTCTCCAATTTGCGTCTGTGGTACATCATGCTTACTCCAAGGGCCTTTTTGCATAACTCTTTATCAAGTTTATTCTGATGTCTGTTCTTCATAAATCTGTATCAGTACTTCCTGGAGTTGCCCCACAGGGCTTCTTAATACTTAACTGTACAACTGGTTAGTCATATTATCCGACATTCCTCAGTAAGGTTAAATCAAGGTCAGCCACCACCCCCACCCCACCCTCACACCCATCCCATGATGACACCTGAGTGCTGCATAGTATCAACTCTACTCCCGGTTTCTGCTTCCTGCGTGCATGTGTTTTAGTTTGCAGCTCAGGCTTGAACTGGAAAGTTCAAAGAAACATGGTGCTTTCCAGTGTGCTCTTCGGAGCCTGGGCACCAGAAGCAAACACATAGGGCCCAAGAATCAGCATCTGTGGCTTCTGCTATTTGAGCTGTTGGGGTCACAGCCTAGACACCCTTCTATTTGCCCATTACTTTCATGAGGACAAATAAATAGGATTTTGACTGCTGACAAGGACAACCCAGTCATAGTGAAATCATAAACGGGGCTTTGAAAAGTGAAACAAAAGCTGGAAACATTTTCAAAATTGAATCTATAGACACAAAAAGTGTCACAACCAGAAAAGTAGCATGGCGGTAACTCTAAAATCCATCAGATTTGGTGTTTTCACCCCTATCTATGCCCCCAGGGGCTTTTTCATATAAACTCCAGGCTCATCCAGTCCTACTGCAGGAGGAATGAGAGCCAGTGGGCTTCTGCCAAGGATACACCATCGTCTCATTGAGGAGCCCATGTGGAGTAGTGTGCACAGTCACTGATTTTTCAGTCATTTATACCTCCTCTTTATGCTGCTAAGACACTTTCTCATGTAATCCACCTATACGTAGCCTATTTGATTTGAACAAGAAAGACTGAAAGGACATTCTACTTAGTGGCTTAGAACAGCACTGAGTATGGCACACTTTCTCTGGACCAGGAACCTGGGCATCACTAGGCTCGTTCCTCTGGCTCGAGGTTGCTCATGAGGTTGCAATGCAGTCAAGCTGCTGGCTGGAGCTGCTGTCTCATCTGAAGGCTTATCTGGGGGAGAATCTGTTCCCAGGCTCACTGTGTAGCTGTTGGCTGGCCTCAGGCTCTTGCTGACGTCTGGCTAGCAGAGCCATCAGTTCTCACACCTGGGGCTCCCCATAGGGCAGTTCACAGCGTGGTAGCTGGCTTGTCTGAGGACAAGCAGGTGAGAGAATAAGAGAGCACACAAAGTGAAAACCAAAGTCTTTTTAAACAGAATCTTGAAAGTGACCCTTGATCCCCTCTAAAGTGCCCTATTTGTGTTAGAAGCCTGTCACAGGTCCCACCCACACTCGAGGGGAGGGGTAACTCAACAGCATGAACACCAGGAGGTGGGGGCTCTGATGACTGGCTTAGAGGCTTCCTTCCATACCTTCTTACATGGAAGTTTTCCTTTCTCAATTACTATATGCTGGATCCCATTACACTGACCAGGCAGAACTTATTGATTCTGTTTGAATTCTAAGGGCTTTATGAATGGGAAACAATTTCTGAAGTCTTAAACACAAGGCTATACCAAAACCATACATGTGCTGCATTGCTTGGAACATTTATACAAACGTCACATGTTTGCATAAATAGTTAAATAAAGTATTTGTCCATCTAGAAAAGCGAGAGGAGGAAGAGGAAGAGAAAGAAGAATTTGAAGAAGAAAGGAGCCGTGAGGAAAAAAGAAGTATCAAAGTTCATGCCATGGTCTCCGTATTCCAATTTATTATGAAACAAAGTTACATCTGTGCCCTCATAGCTATGATGGTATGTATGACATGATAGTATATATGATATGATATGATGATATGTATAATATGATATGTATAATATGATATGGTGCTATGTATGATATGATGGTAAGTATGATATATGATGGTATGTATGATATGATATGATGGTATGTATGCTATGATGGTATGATAATATGATGGTACACACATGGTATATAAGATATGATGGTATGATATGGTAGTACATATATGATGGTATGTAAGATATGATATGGTGTGTATGATATGGTGTGTACAATATCTGATGGTATGTATGATATGGTGGTATGTATGATATGATGTGATGGTATGTATGCTATGATGGTATGTATAATATGATGGTACACATATAATGGTATATAAGATATGATGGTATGATACGCTAGTACATATATGATGGTATGTAAGATATGATATGGTGTGTATATGATGGTGTGTACAATATCTGATGGTATGTATGATATGGCATGTATGATATGATATGATGGTATGTATGATATGATGCTATGTGCAATATGATATGATGGTATGTATGATATGATGGTGTATACAATATCTGATGGTATGTATATGATGGTATGTATGATATGATGGTATATATGATATATGATGATATGTATGATATGATGCTATGTGTAATGTGATATGATGGTATGTATGATATGATGGTATGTATGATATGATATGAGGAAGGTATGATATGATGCTATGTGCAATATGATATGATGGTATGTGTGATATGGTGTGTACAATATCTGATGGTATGTATGATATGATGGTATGTATGATATGATGGTATATATGAGTGGAGGCTGCCAGACTGCTGGAGAAAGGAGACCACAGCCCCGCTGGCTCTAAGTGCTGCTATCCTCTGAGGGCCAGCAGAAGTATAGGAATCCCCCTGATGCCTTGGCAGAGAATGGTCAGCTGTGTTAATTTTTCATGGTATATTTATACTACAGATTGTAAAATTGTGTCCTTTTCACCTCTATTTATCCTCTTTTAAGTATTAATACATTTCTTTCAAATTAGCTTATGAAGTCAGACTCTCCTTATTTTGCCAATTTGAGAGGACATACTAGTTTTTCTAAATGACATTGAAGGTCTTTGAGGTTAACATAGGCTGCTTTTATTCCTTTCAGATAGTGAGAATTATATTCACATCTTATCTTAGATTTGGGTGAGACGTTATTCCATCTTAGCTACCATAACTTTTTTTTTTTTTTTTTTGAGATGGAGTCTTGCTCTGTCGCACTGGCTGGAGTGCAGTGGCACGATCTTGGCTCACTGCAAGCTCCACCTCCCGGGTTCACACCATTCTCCTGCCTCAGCCTCCCGTGTAGCTGGGACTACAGGCACCTGCCACCACGCCCAGCTAATTTTTTTTGTGTGTGTATTTTTAGTAAAGACGGGGTTTCACCGTGTTAGCCAGGATGGTCTCGATCTCCTGACCTCGTGATCCACCCGCCTTAGCCTCCCAAAGTGCTGGGATTACAGGCGTGAGCCTTCGCGCCCAGCCAGCTGCAATAATGTTTTACCAATATGAGCATCAAGCAACCGTGGTTCCCTAGAGCACCTTCCAATTGTGAGCTCTCAGTTTATACGTGTTTCTACTCACCATCTGCAACATCACAGCTTCAAAATAGTCCCTTGGCCCATAGATAGAAAATAAAAGAAGCTATAATCTCTCCCTTTCCCAAAAACAAATTTTCTCAGGAAATTTGATTTATTTTTGAGAAACCTAACATTCTTGTTTAAAATACGACTCTTCTAAATTCTGTGGTCAACAGTGAGATCCTATGGACACCTTTGATGATAAAAATAAAAATATTCTTTAACTCAGGGGACATAGTACCTAGGCACAGTTTCCCAGGCACTCAGTCCAGGTGCTTCTCAGACGAACCTGTGTGTGCTCAACTTCGGTTTCCAGTAAGGAACACAGCCACATACGAGAGGAGGCTGGGAAAAAGAAAGCACCACAAAATTGAAGAGGCTAATTTGGGGATTGCCAACTCTATTCTTCAAATAAAATTAGTTCTGTGCTCTTTGGTTACTTTTTGACATTTTCTGTACATCAACTGTTACTTTAAACTGCAGCAGATCTCTCATTCTGAACTCACAAAAGTGTACCCTATTTTTTTTTCTCTCTAAGCCAGATAAGTTTGGTCTTTTCTTTAAAGCAATAGAGCTAAATAAAGTAAAATAAAATATTTGCTTACACGTTTTGTTAATTAACTGAAAAAAATCTATTGTGAAAACAACACAATCCTTCATTAAAAATGTGCCCATGTCTGGTACCATTCTGCTGTGTTAATGGAGCTACAATATTAAAGCTTTAAAACCTCCCATCTTCCAAGCCACCACTCCATGGCTTGGGGTCTCCGTCACTCCACCACAACTCTCTACTCTCCCTGGTTTGAATATTATAGAATATTTGAACTTTTTAGAGTTTTTACCTTACCAGGGTGGGGGGACCGAGCACTGTACTAACCATGGTCATGTTTCCTTTTCTGTCCTCCGGAGGCCTGGAGCATCACCTATCACAGCTGGCTGACCTTCGTGCTGCTGATCTGGTCGTGCACTCTTTGGATGATTCGCAACAGAAGAAAATATGCCATGATCAGCTCTCCCTTCATGGTGGTTTATGGAAACCTATTGTTGATATTACAGTATATATGGAGTTTTGAACTTCCTGAAATTAAAAAGGTTCCAGGATTTTTAGAAAAGAAAGAGCCAGGAGAACTCGCTTCCAAAGTAAGTTAATAGAATAAAATAAAACAAAACAATGACACAAAACCACAATCATCATCATCATCGTATCCAACAGAAACCTTACAAAAATAGGTTCCAAATATTCACTGCTTTGTAAAAATGAACAAATATGAGACTGTAGGACACAATTTACGGTGCTTAGAGGCTTCTATAATTTAAACATGAACATATACTACACCATGATTTAGCTTTTACTTAGAAATGACAATGTTTTCCACTCAAAGAAAACTTGTATAATTTTTTTTAAGTATAAATCCTACTAGAGTAAAAATGAAGTGTGAAAAGAGGAAAATACAGTGTAAAATGTGTTAAGGAGTACAGGGCTGTCTTTGATTACCATTTTATAAAACATGCTTAGCACATTAGTGTCACAAATAAGTATTGATTATTCATGACGTTTTTCTCCAATTCCTTCCTAAAGAACATTTTTAGCAGCAAAAATTAAGTATGACACTTACTGTTTTTCTTCTACTGATTATGTGATATGTTCTTATCTGAGTTAGAATGTTCATACTCTTTTCATTACTCATTTGTTTTTATGAGCCATTTTAACAGTTTTATTTCAAAAGATTAGATTTCCAAATTTACTGTTTGTTTTGTTAACAAAATGGCAGACTAAACACACATTCCCTTTGTGTTAATAATTTAGTTTTAAGACAGGAAAAATAAATGTGTATGTATTGAATGGGTCTTGGAAATCAGTATCTTTGGAGGAGATGGTCATTTACATCACATGAAATCCACCTTTCCTGGGAGCAGCTGCCCACTTGAAGGATTCTCACACACCCCATATCCAAGGCAATCAGCTGTCAATGGGGTAGAGTACACTAGGGCAAAGTTTGCTGTTCGTAACAGATTTTTGGGTGAAGAACTACTGGGGTAAATGACACACATTCTAACAGATGAATTCTAGTAACAGAGGTAAGAATATAACCCCTGTGTTCATGGACCAAGGCATTTCATTCATTGATCCATTCATCCCAGACTCCCACGCCTGCTTCTTCTCCTCGCCCTGCTCCATGCTGAAAATCCCACGTTGTACTCTCACTTACTCTGTCTCCCTCTTTCCTCTTAAACACAGACCCACACACAACATATTCACACACAACTGGTAACTTAGTCTTCTTCTACTTAAAAAAATCAAAATTATATTCTTTTGACTGTGTAAATTCATCGCAGTCTGACTCCGAATAGCAATGAAACTGCTAAAATAGCGTGCCAAGTCACTGGTTGAATTATCTCCTGTCGAATCCAAAATTAACAGTTCTTTAGGAGGAAAACATTATTTGCAAAATAAATTTCTTACTCATGAAAAAAAAAAAGTTATTCTGGGAATCTAGGTCTGCGCTTGTATTTTAATGTTCCCAGGGACTCAGAAAAAAGTGCAAGGTTTTGTCATAGAAGATAGTAATACACCTCCAGGCATATAACATTTCTATTACAATAACGTGTAAAACCCATTTTTAAACACACACTGTTTATGGAGTGTAGTGGATGAGTCAGTGTGATAGAGAATGAGAGAATAGAATCTCATCCTCAGTCCTCAAGGGTCTGAACCCCTCCCAAGGAGCCGGACTTACCTGCTTGGCAGCTTTCCTCAGTCCCAGAGCATCTCATTTCTGGCTCCATATCAAGACCTTTTATTAAATAACTCAACCTCTCTAAGAATGATGTCCCACTTGCTCTCAATTACTCTTAACCTCTCTGAATATGCATTGGAGAAACAATTTTTCCCCCCAATTTGCAGCAATAGTTCAATTCATAGTGGCTTCCAGAATTTTAACTTCAGATTTGCATAAATGTAGGCACTCCGGTTCTTGATTTAATTAGGCCCTGGGCATATTGGCCAGGACTTATTGGCACTAGTCTATGTTGAAAGTAAATGATAAGTAGACATTTATGGATAGGTAAGTGGTCAATTCAAATTGAAAATGACCCGTTCATTTATATTTATTTATATTTTATTTTGTTTTATTTTTTCACTTCACTGGAAAATATTTCTAAAAAGTCTACTATGAACCACAAGATACCACTTCATGTCTACTAGGATGACTATAATTTTTTTTTTTTTTTTTTTGAGATAGAGTCTTGCTCTGTTGCCCCAGGCTGGAGTGCAGTGGCGCGATCTCGACTCACTGCAAGCTCCGCCTCCCAGATTCACACCATTCTCCTGGCTCAGCCTCCCGAGTGGCGGACTACAGGTGACCGCCACCACGCCCGGCTAATTTTTTTGTTTTTTTTTTTTTAGTAGAGGCGGGGTTTCACTATGTTAGCCAGGATGGTCTCGATCTCCTGACCTCATGATCTGCCTGCCTCGGCCTCCCAAAGTGCTGGGATTACAGGCGTGAGCCACCGTGCCCAGCTAGAATGGCTATAATTTTTAAAAAGGTAGATAATAACCAGTGCTACTGAGGACATGGAGAAGTTGAAACGGTCACACACTGCTGGTGGGAATGTAAAATGGTGCAGCAACTTTGAAAAACAAAGTGCCAGTTCCTCAAAATGTTAAACGTAAAATTACCGTAAGACCAGCAATTCCAGTCCTAGGTTCATTTACCCAGGAGGATTGAAACCATCTGTCCACACAAAAACTTGTATATGAATGTTCATAGCAGAATTATCCATCGTAGCTAAAATATGGAAATGATCCAAATGCCTATTAACTAATGAAAGGATAAAATGTTGTATGGCCATGCAATGGAATATTGCTGGGTAATTAAAAGAGATAAAGAACTGTGCATGCTACCAGTGGATCAACCTGGAAAACATTATGCTAAGTAAAAACAATCCCTTACGAAAGGCTACCTATTATATAATTTCATTCATAAAAAATTTCCAGATTAGGCAAAACTATAGAGACAAAAAGTGAATTTGTGGTTGGCTAGGGCTGAGACAGGGAGAAAAGGAAGTACCTGCCGTGGGGCTTCTTACACAGGGTTGATGAAAGTGTTGCAAAATGCATTGCAGTGATGGTTGCATAACTCTGAATATACTAAAAACCACTGAATCTAAATGGGTGAACTGTGTAGTATGTGAATTATATCTCAATAAAGCTATTTTTAAAAACCACTGTGTGTGACCAGGCATGGTGGTTCACACCTGTAATCCCAGCACTTTGGGAGGCCGAAGTAAACAGATCAGCTGAGGTCAGGAGTTCGAGACCAGCCTGGCTAGCATGGGGAAACCCCGTCTCTACTAAAAAAATACAAAAACTAGCCGGGCATGGTGGTGTATGCCTGTAATCCCAGCTACTTGGGAGGCTGAGGCAGGATAATCGCTTGAATCCGGGAGGCAGAGGTTGCAGTGAGCTGAAATCATTCCATTACACTCCAGCCGGGACAACCAGAGCGAAACTCCCTCTCAAAAAACAACAACCACAGCAACAAACCTACTGTGTGTTAGGTACTATATTTCCTAAACAATAGAGTTCCCCCAAATCAAAAAGTTTTTGATGTCTTCGTCCTTAAGAAAATGTTACTCTAAAAGTATGAGCACTTAGAATTAGACTCCCTGCAGCTTTAGAAGATTAATAATAAGGGGTTCTATTTTCTGGGATGAAATTTTCCTTTTCCCATCTATGGAATTCTTCAAAATAAGAAACATTGCAGTCAAGGGAGTATTATGCAAGAAGTATGTCTTCCTTTTACAATTGTAATGACGTCACAATCAGGAGGGAACCAACCAGGGACCAGCACCTCATGGGAGACCACTTGTTGCAGTTGATTTCCTGCCCAGATGGAAGTCGTTAGACAGGTTGGGTTCATCTTCCTCAGGACTTGCGTGGTGCTCCTGGCACCCAACACAAGCATGGGAGCATCCTCGGAAAAGGGACTTAAAAGCCGTGAATCTCAGCTGAAATCAGGCAGGTGACCTGACTCTGTCTCCAATAAAAATGTTTATTTATGGTGCTCCCACTGGAATGCGGAGAAAATGTTGTATTTGTTGAATGTTTTTACATTCCAAATGGTTGCTTAATTCTTGTTTTGCTGCTTCTCTACTTTCAGATCCTTTTCACCATTACTTTTTGGCTACTGCTGAGGCAGCACCTCACAGAGCAAAAAGCTCTGCGAGAAAAGGAAGCTCTTTTATCGGAAGTCAAAATTGGCAGTCAGGAAAATGAAGAAAAAGGTAAATTAGTGTACATGGCGTGTGGCCAGAGAGTTTGGTGCTCAGCAAAATTACAGAGAAAGAGCCCCAAAATACATCAGAAAGCTTCAGAATAAATGAAAGTGGAATGTAAACTTGGAGCACTAAGTAACGTTATTATAGCGTGTGACTTTTGAGGTGCACGTGAGAGTTCCAAAGGAGTGTTAAAAATATGCCATTTGGGCCCAGCGCGGTGGCTCACACCTGTAATCCCAGCACTTCGGGAAGTTGAGGTAGGCAGATCACGAGGTCAGGAGATCGAGACCATCCTGGCTAATATGGTGAAACCTCATCTCTACTAAAAATGCAAAAAACTAGCCGGGCAGGGTGGCGGCGCCTGTAGTCCCAGCTACTCGGGAGGCTGAGGCAGGAGAATGGTGTGAACCCGGGAGGCGGAGCTTGCCGTGAACTGAGATCCGGCCACTGCACTCCAGCCTGGGCGACAGAGCGAGACTCTGTCTCAAAAAAAAAAAAAAATAAAAAAATGTGCCATTTGATCCTCATGAAGGTGATTCCCAGTGAAAGAAAAACTGAGCCTCTGAGAAATTAAATGATTCCTCCCAGGTCATACTTTTAGTGAATATTGGAACGAAGAAACTAACTCACATCTTTTACATTTAAAACTTCTTTCTTCTTTCTTAAAAATAGTATACCACAATGTGAAAACAGATGATGATGATGTTATCACCTTGATAGTTTTAGACCTGCTATATAGGTAAAATAAGAACAGCTTGCTCCCTAACTCCCTAGATATGCCAATAAATGTAAGTTCAATGTTTGTAGAATGGATTGAAGAGTATTTATGAGGTTAAGAAGCACTGTCTGTGAAAAGGAGCCTATAAATGTCCACAGAAGCTGGGCTGGTAACCTTAAGATTTAACCAGTAACCATAAGAACCAATGCAGGCAGATATATATATACACACACACACACACACACATATTTATGTTTAGTTTCTTATTTAGACCTAACCAGTCAGTTGTTTTTCAGTAACAAAAGTCTGTCCATAAGATTCAAATCTTGCCTATATGATTTGGATGTCTCTGTTCAACATAGTGATTAAATTAACCAGTTAATTTTGGTAAAAAATGGTTAATTTGATATCAACAATTGCTCTGAGCCCTCACTTGATTTTCACTCTCCTCACTCTGTGAATCTACTAGTTGTTTGAATAAATTATTCAAATTAACCCCAATAATTCTTTTGAAATAATTATTCAGGTTCTTCAAATATAAGACTTTGTAACACAGAGATGAGTCCCATGTATTAGCATATTTTAAAGCAACACAATGTGAGTTTTTTATTTTGATCTATTAAATTGTTTTAAACTTAAATTACAATTACTCTTTCAATCTAATTTAAATTAAATTATGTTTCGCTATATCTCTTAAATTTTGAGTTATTTAAAAGCATGCTTTTTTGGTTAAGATTGATAGCATTAACCACATTTGGTAAAGTACTACTTGGATTGTCTAGTGCCGTGAAACAATTAGAATTTGAAATTGATATAGTCATTTAGATTTGTGCTATTGTTGCCTATTTATTTTTTTCATCTCACAGCACTTAAAGCTATCACTCGGTATCAGAAATTAAAAAAGACCTTGTATATAAATTAGTATTACCAAATTTATTTTCTTATAAACTCTATTTTGAGAAGGTTATGAAAATTGACTTTTAATCTAGTTAGGAATGTTGCTGTGTTTATGAGAATAGTTTAAAATCACTCAAATTATAACTTGGAAAATGCATGCCTCTACATCCTACATATATCACACGTGGTCAAAGTGTGGTTCTACACAGATAGCCAGCTAAGTGTAACAGTATAGTTTTCTATTTGAAGATGAGGAACTTCAAGATATACAAGTGGAAGGAGAGCCCAAAGAGGAGGAGGAAGAAGAGGAAGCGAAGGAAGAGAAGCAAGAGAGAAAGAAGGTAGAGGAAGAGGAAGTTGAAGAGGAAGATGAGCAGGACATCATGAAAGTCCTGGGCAATCTGGTGGTGGCCATGTTCATCAAGTACTGGATCTACGTCTGCGGAGGCATGTTCTTCTTCGTCAGCTTCGAGGGTAAAATCGTAATGTACAAAATCATCTACATGGTGCTGTTCCTGTTCTGTGTGGCCCTGTATCAGGTAGGTACACAGTTGATCATTTTAATTCTCACATCTGTCCCAGGAATATACATGAGCTACCTTTGCAGAGATTCTAAATCACTAGACTCATGAACATAGATAAAGTGATTGGCAAGATTCAAACATTATATCCCAAGAATCCTAAAATGGTAAATGACTGTCTTCAACTTCTTTACTATTTCAAAATTTCAGGGCTGGATGCAGTGGCTCATGCCTATAATTTCAGCACTTTGGGAGGCAAGGGAGGAGGGCTGTTTGAGGCCAGGAGTTCCAAACCAACCTGGGCAAAATACTGAAGTCTTGTCTCTACAAAAAATTTTCTTAAATTAAAAAATTAGCCAGGTGTGGTGGCACACCTGTAGTCCTAGTTTCTTGGTAGGCTGAGGCAGGAGGATCCTAGGAGGTCAGGGCTGCAGTGAGCTATGCTTGTACCACTGCAGTACAACTGGGCAACAGATTAAGATGCCATCCCTAAAAAAAGTAAAAATAAAAAATTTAGGTTGTTGAAAAATCAGGAAAAAGTTCATACATAAGTTTTCCAAAAAGTATTCATCAAAAAAATCTGTAAAATTGAATTACATTTCTATTTCTTTCTTTCTTTTTATTTATTTATTTATTTATTTATTTATTTTTTGAGACAGAGTCTTGCTCTGTCCCTTAGGCTGGAGTGCAGTGGCGTGATCTCTGCTCATTGCTCACTGCAATCTCCACCTCCCAGGTTCAAGCGAGTCTCATGCCTCAGCCTCCCAAGTAGCTGGGATTCCAAGTGTACACCAACACCTCCAGCTAATGTTTGTATTTTTAGTAGAGACGGGGTTTCACCATGTTGGCCAGGCTGGTTTCAAACTCCTGGCCTCAAGTGATCGGCCCTCCTCGGCCTCCCAGAGTTCCGGGATTACAGGCATGAACCACTGCACCTGGCCTATAAAAATTGAATTACATTTTAAAATAGTAATTTAAAAGCTAGATAATCTGAAGTCGTGGAGTACTCCTAGGTATACTTTTGCATTTCAGGCTTTAGGGTCAGAAAACGATGTATGTGTGGCATGTGCCTGCTCTTTGTGTACATATATATGTGTAGTGCACTGACTGCTTTCGTATTTCATTAATTAAAAGGATTTCATTCATTAAAATAATTTAATATATGAAACGCATTGAAATGAGTTAGCTCTCCACAGACTCACTTTTAACTGATGATAAAAGAGAATCTAATAATAGAAACACATGGAACAGTAAAATATCTTGCAGGTAGCCAACAAAACAAATAAAAGAACTACAATAAACGAGAGTATATCATATGTTAAGATAAAAAAATCTCAAAAGAAATCAGTGGGCCAGGTGCGGTGGCTCAAGCCTGTAATCCCAGCACTTTGGGAGGCCGAGACGGGCGGATCACGAGGTCAGGAGATCGAGACCATCCTGGCTGACACGGTGAAACCCGTCTCTACTAAAAAATACCAAAAAAAAACTAGCCGGGCCGAGGTGGCGGGCGCCTGTAGTCCCAGCTACTCGGGGAGGCTGAGGCAGGAGAATGGCGTGAACCCGGGAGGCAGAGCTTGCAGGGTGAGCCGAATCCGGCCACTGCACTCCAGCTGGGCGGCAGAGCGGACTCCGTCTCAAAAAAAAAAAAAAAAAACAAAAGGAATCAGTGAACTTTTGAATACTCTTAAAAATTCAGGATGGATGTTCTCTAATGAATATCCACAGCTTATGGTAAAATGAGATGTCTTTTTTTCTGTGGTTGTTTCACATTTTCATTCATACAATATTGCTTTCAATTTCAAAATGGATGTGGTTTTCTCTGAGCAGTGATAATAACCACAATGACAGCAGCACCTACCCTACTGTTCCTTGAGCGCCCCCTATGGGCCAGATAGCTTGCAGGAACCCGTAAATACCTATTTCATCCTCGTAGCAACCCTGCAAAATAGGCACTTATGGAGACGCTCAGGAAGGTTCAGCCACTTCCCCAAAGACAGAGTTAGCAACCACTTATAGAACTGGGGTTCTAACCCAGGACCACTCCACTATGTTAGGCATGGAACATTAAAAACTAGAAATGAAATAGACTTTATTTTCAGACATTTGTGAATGTAATCACTTGTCTTACTTGAATAAACCAAATATTTTTGTGAGTTTTTCTAAAATGATTTTTTTCTCGTTTGTTTTTTTCCACTATCTGATTTGCAGGTGCACTATGAATGGTGGAGGAAAATTCTAAAATATTTTTGGATGTCAGTGGTTATTTACACTATGCTGGTGCTTATCTTTATATACACATATCAGTTTGAAAACTTCCCAGGCCTGTGGCAAAATATGACTGGATTGAAAAAAGAAAAGTAAGTAATTTTGAGTTGAAAAATGATGAACAAGATGAAGACTTGAATGCATATCGTTCAAAAACATCTTTAAGGAAGATTTTAGCAAAGCATGATGTCATCACTGTCTATAAGTTCGTCAAGAATAGAAATTAAAACTTAGAGATTTTTGTGTTCCCTTTACTTAGCCCTTAGCTTAGAACATAGTAGGCACTCCATGAATTTTCAGCCCCATTTTAATGAAATGACATTTTCTAATGTTAGTTTCGTGTGAAACACACCTAGCACTTAGTCATGCTTTCTGCTCTCCACATTGGAGCTCAGCTCTTCAGTTCATAAGTAAGTTCATGCACTTATAAAGTAGCAGCCTTTGCTCATGTATGTTGCTGGGTGCTTAGATTCCAAGGAGTATTTAGTGCCATAAAGAAATAAATTTCTCTAAGTGCTAACAGACTTGTGATAATGAGATGGTTTTTCCCATGCATGTAGTAAGTAGCGCTCTATTCTTCTCTAATTTGCTTCTGTAAACTTCTGAAATTAGTTTGGAAATCCAGCCAGGATTGGGTTTTGAGCTGAATATATTGATGTGGCTGAGAAAGAAGTCCCTTAGAAGTCTCTGTCCCTTAGAAGGGAACTAGACCAACACAGCTGAAGTGTCTATACAATAAGCGTTTATGAAATGCTGTCCATGGGCTGACACTGTTTTGTGCCTGGAATATGACAGGGAACAAGACAGATAAAATCTAAGCCCTGTAGATCCTATATTCTAGCAGAGGAGACAAACAAGAAAACTATTTAGTGTAAAATAAGTCTGTTACACTTTGTGACAGGTCCGTGAAGGAAACAGACAAGAGGCTGAGGCAGTGAGTAAGGGGGAACTATAAATGAGTGATTGGCACGGGCTTCGCTGAGGAGCTGGTTTAAACTGCAACTGAAGCATAAGAAGAAGCTTGTCTTAGGAAAAGTGTGTGAGTTTGAGCCTGGGGTGTGGAAGGGCATTTCAGGCAGAGGGAACAGCACATGCGAAGGTCCTGAGGCAAGTCAGAGTTTGGCATAGCACATAAGAGGAACTGAAGACCGGGGGTGAGTGGACAGCGAAGAGTGGGGAGAATTCAGGCAGGCAGTTGGGATGTGCATGGCTTGTAGGCAGCATTATTTGTATTCTATTCTTGGTGGAATTTTCTAATCTTTATAGATCCCTTGAGTAGCTGAGAAAAAGCGATGTGTGGGAGGAGAAACAAGGAGACCAGTTAGTAGGCAGCAGCAGTGAGAAATGTGAGAAATGATGGCAGCTTCCCCTACACTCAGTGGAGGAAGAGATGGATAACAGGAGTGGGCCATTCAAGAGGTGCTTAGGAGGCTGAAGGAAATGTGGATGAATGAGATATGAAAGAAAAGAACATAGGAGACGTCTGACTTCTCAATTTGCACAGGGTAGACAGTTGTACCATTTATTGCTTCAGGGATACTAGAGTGGGGAGAGGGATGTGGAGGACAGCTTTGCTAAGAAAAATAGGAAAATCAAGAATACTGTTTTGGAAACACTAAATATGAAATAACTGCGAAACAACCGATTTCCAGTAGCAATTTGGGCACAGGAATCTTACAGGAGCGGCCTGCACTGTAGATGTGCCTTGAGTCCTCAGTGTAAGGATGATGTATAAATCCACAGAAGAGGATTTCCCTAGCGGGCAGGCACAACTGGAAGAGAGATCAAAACTGAGTCCTGGGGATATTTCAGCCTCTAGAGGTCCAATAGAAAAGGAGGAGATCGTGGAGGAATAAGAAACCAAGAGAGTGTGATGGCGTCAAAACCACGCTTGCCTCAAGGAAGACCAGAGGTTTAATTAAATAAAGCTAGAGAAGTAGCCCTTGAATTTGGCAATGTCAAGGTTTTTACTGACCATTGTTAAAGGAGGTTAGCTGGCTTGGTGGAAACGAAAGCCATATTGGATCATATCAGAGAGAGTGATGCAATAAACGATAGAACTGACAGGAGTATAAGACTGTGATGTAGTTTATCACAAAGGGTCTGTGACTTCATTGCCTAAGAGAGGCTCCTGCTTTATATTTTGTTTTGTTTTGCAGGCTTGAGGATCTTGGCTTAAAGCAGTTTACTGTGGCTGAACTATTCACTCGCATATTCATCCCAACCTCCTTTCTGCTGGTGTGCATTTTACACCTGCACTATTTCCATGACCGGTTCCTTGAACTCACAGACCTCAAGTCCATTCCCAGCAAAGAAGACAACACCATCTACAGGTGAGCCACTGAAAGAGACACAGACCTGTTGTTAACAGGAAGGCAGCCTTCAACCCTACCTTAGGTTGGCCACCTTGCGGGAAGCCAGTAATCTTGAGTTTCAGCCTTGAATTTTCCGTTAGTATCAGCTTGAGAGGAAAAGAGGAAAACATGTGGAAGATTCTGTGACACGTTCTGAAACAATGGGTAGTGACTCATGACTGGTTAATGTAAAGTGATCTTGATAGTCTTGTGAGATATTCAGAGTAGCTGTGGAGATTTAAATATTTTATAGTTGATATTTTAGAGTTGATAGAGTGTATTTGTGTCTAGGCTGGTTATATGTTTTTAGAACATTTACAGAATCTGGCTAATTCAGAGGATTTTTCCATTATGCTGACCACAAGTACAGAAGTCTTGTGAGAGCATAGCAAGAGATGATGGGCAGAGTTTTCCCTCCATTTTGGAAATAAAGAACTTTGGCTAAAAACACAGAATCTGCAATTGACTAGTAACTACAATCATATTTAAGGAGACAACATGATGACAATATCTTCTTTTAGCAGCTTACTGTTGTTTTCTCCTGATCAATAAATATAAATTGTTTGCGAATAACAGATGGGATATTACTTTTCCTGCCCATGTTTTTTCAAACCACAATGGGTTATCACAAATCCTTCACTGCGTTCCATCACGGAGACGTCGCAAGCATTCTTCTAGTAAATGCTGACAATGGTCTTCCTCTCTGCCTCATGTTTAGCCTATGATTCAGATATTGGAAAAATGCTTGTTAAGCAGCTAAGGGAGCAAAGGGCTGTATTGAGAGGAGCACAGAGGTCACGGATGAAAATTCTCCTTAATTATTTGACTTTAAGGGGAAAAAAAGAAGGTATCAATCGAAGATGAAGTAAGAGTTCATTATATGCATTTTGTAAAATGCAAACTTCCAGTGTTTTACTGTGTAGGAACTAGAGTTATGGATAGACCCAAAACATTTATTTAATGACAAGAAACATTTTATAATCCTTGTATGACCAGCAGATTCACTTTCCTTATTGTGTTGTGTTTCACCTATCATTCTGATACTTCAGATGACTCGTAGCCCATGGAACCAAGAGGTATCAGTCAGTCATGACTTGTTTTGTATCTAGCCATCATGAAAAATCAGGCTCTGCTAAAACCTGTCTGCTCCCAAGGCCCCAGCAGGGAGGAGGGCATGGATGGGGTCAGTGGCTTACCCTCTCCATATATGTACTCCTACTTACTGCAGTGATGATCAAACATTAGGAAAAACAGAGTAGTTATTAGAAGTTTTGGGACCCCCAAAAAAGATATCATTCATAGACAAACTTGATGGCGGGGAAAATCACCCCAAGTTTAAAAGTTTACAAAGACAATGCCTGCACATAAAAGTGAGAATTGTCAGTAATCAGAAAAAGGATCTTTTTATGTCATTAGTTTGACATTGCTTGTGATCTGTGTGGATAAAACTAGTATTTGATATTTAATTCTGACCATGTAACATGTTTTAATTGACTCTAAGCTCTCACCATTCTTTTCAAGGGCCTTATTCAATAATTACACAGGATTTTAGTTAGCAGAGCCCATTCGTATGTTTGTGAAGGAGTTGTAATTATTAAGCATTGCTAATGAAATCTTTTTAAAAATGTTTTTCTTCCAAATGTCATTTCTTCTCTTGCATATTGATTTATTTTTCTCACTAAAAGTGCCTCCAGCATGCAGGAGCCTTTTTCTTGCCATTTTTCTTAATGTGGATGTGTCTGAGTCTTCTGTCATGCAATCAAGCAGAGATACAATTCACCATTTATCCAGAAAAGTAGAAACATGCAGGACCACAGTTTTGCAGAAGACAGTTAGGCTCACCAGCCTAGAGACTCCCAAGTTTTGGACCTAGCGTATGTGAAAACTGAATTAAGGTCCCACAGAATTCCCTTTAAGCACGTATAGTAGTGTTCAGCCTGTGCAGGTTCTGAGGAAGGACTGCAGCCCACAGAATTCCCTTAAGCACGGATAGTAGTGTTCAGCCTGGGCAGGTTCTGAGGAAGGACTGCAGCACACAGCAGGATGTAGGTTCTGTGTTTCCTCAGCTGCCGCTTCACAGCCTTTCCCTGCACCCCGGGGCAGAGAAGAAAGATCTAAATGATCTGTAGCGATATGAGTCCTGACTTGCCTTCCTTGCAGCTGTGGCTTGGCCCTAAGCACTCCCTCAACGGTGAATTTTCCAAGTAAATGTAAGGGGTGAGGAGAGTGTGTAATGCCAGTTCTCTGAAGAGTTTAAGCACATAGGATTTCATTTTTAGTTATATGAAGAAGAGTTTTCTAGAACCTTAGGAAATTTGAAGAACTCACTCAAATTTGGTATTTTGGAATTTCATGCAACAGTTCGATATAAAGTCCTCAAGTTTAAACTTTGAACATTTTTTATATATGTATTATATAACCATACATTATATAATAATATAACATATATTATTATATAAATATATTATTTATATCATATATTATTATATACATATAAATTATATACATATAAATACATATACAAATTAAAAATATAAATTATTATATACATAATAATATATTTTATATAATATATGTATAAATACATTATATAAAAATGTTCAAAGTTTAAACTTGAGGGATAACATATATTGATTATAGGTCTAATTATATATATTATATGTAATTATATATTAATTAAAAATAATCATATATTAAATAAATACATATACGGGTTATATAATATACATTATTATATAAATAATGTAGCATATATTATGTAAATAATTATTACATTATATAACAATATTATCTATATTATTATTAATATATATATATTACATTATATTATGTATATTATTATATTATGTATGTAATATATTTATATAATATATTAATATAATACATTATGGTATAATATGTTATATAATATTTATATATATATATTTAAAGATGTTCAGATTTTAATATATAATATGTATAATATTCAAAGTTTAAATATATATATACAATCTTTTTAGCAACTCTTTCTCATGGGAGTATTTTCCTTACTCATAATTTTCACCTCACAGTATTTTTTGTCCCGGGAGTCCTAATACAGTGGCTACATTAAAATCAAAATGATGAAGAAAAAGGAATATTTTGAGAGTTGGGATTGACTGTCGAGCTTTACTTTCTGTGCTCCCGTGTCCTAAACGGATGCTTTACAAGAAATGGCCCACAGATGAGGAATAACCGATTTGCTCATTAAGCTGATTTCCACACTGTTGTCTCTGGAAATATGCAGCTCTTCTTTTCCTATTTCATCACTTTTTGGTGTGCATGTGCTTATGCAGATGTAATGCAGGCACATGTCACTTATGTATGAAGCAGAATTTACTATGTTTAGCCTTACAGAATTTACAAAGTTAGCCTTATGAAAATATAATAATGTAGGAAGAAATTATTATTTCTAAGTAGGCAATCTCAGGAATATTATTTCACCTATATATTTATAGAAATTCATAATATAAGAATTATAACATATAACATGTTTATTATATAATATATAATTAGCAGTGATTTACAAAGGACTATTTAAATATTTATTACTTTTGTTTTTTTATTTGAGACAGAGTCTTGCTCTGTTGCCCAAGCTGGAGTGCAGTCAGTGGCACGATCTCGGCTCACGGCAACCTCTGCCTCCCAGGTTCAAGCGATTGTTCTGCCTCAGGCTCCCGAGGAGCTGGGACTGCAGGCATGCACCACCATGCCTGGCTAATTTTTGTATTTTTAGTAGAGATGGGGGTTTCACCATATTGGCCAGGCTGGTCTCAAACTCCTTACCTCATGATCCGCCCGCCTCAACTTCCCAAAGTGCTGGGATTACAGGAGTGAGCCAGCACACCTGGCCATATTCATTACTTTCATATCTCTTTAATTTGTGCATGGTTTGTTTTAGAAAATATCATTATGCATAGAAAAATGAAATGACTTTTTTTAACTATAGTTTTAGAAAAACCTTAGAAAACAGCATGTTGAATGTGACCACTGAGTAGGATCCTTTTTTCTTCCTGCAGTAGCAGCAAAAATTAATTTTTTAATTATATTTTATTTCATAAAATGTACCTTGAGGCCAGGCACTGCGGCTCATGCCTGTAATCCCAGCAATTTGGGAAGCTGAGGCAGGTGGATCACTTGCAGTCAGGAGTTTGAGACCAACTAGGCCAAGAGATGGTAAAACCCCATGTCTACTAAAAATACAAAAATTAGCCAGGTATGATGGCATGCATCTGCAATCCCAGCTACTTGCGAGGCTGAGGCAGGAGAATCACTTGAATCCAGGAGGCAGAGGCTGCCGTGAGCTGAGATACATCACTGCAGTCCAGTCTGGGTGACAGAGCAAGACTCTGCAACAACAAAAAAAAAAAGAAGTACCTTAAAAAATTTAAACATTACAAATTTGTAATAAAGTGTGTGAGATGGGGAGGGATGAGAAGAAGGGAGAGGCTTGTTATCGTCTAGCATTTTTCCTGACCATTGTCTGATTTAATGTTGCTACTGAATCTTGCTGTCTAGACTCTTCTTTAAGGCATGAAGCCTGTGAAGGTGGCTACACCTAATGCTAGGAAGCTTAAGGGAGTCCACTTCGTTCGTCTCTGTCTAACAATCTCCTCTCTCTCTCTCCAACCTTTCTCCTCATTGCATCCCTGTGCTTCCGTCTGCCACCTCGTAGCCATGCCAAAGTCAATGGTCGCGTATATCTAATAATAAATAGGTGGGTACTTCAATGTTTTCTCTCTTATTTTTGTTCAAAGCTGTTTCTTGCTGTGTTAAACTCTTAACTGCTTTATACATGAAAAATCGTGTTGTCAGATAGTGGACAATGGTCTTCAGGTATGCTCATGGATGTATTTTGCAAACCAAACCATTTGGTGTCTGTACCGAATGGTACCACCAAGTGGATGTGGAGGCTGTTGAGGGTCTTCAGCTGGTGCTCAGCCTTTGGCCTTGGTTCGAAC